TGGAAAATTGAATCTCCCAAGTGAATTTCTATAAGGGAATCTCTAGTATATACTATTATCAATAGGCTTTTTTCTTTTCACATTTGAATCTGTATTCTGTAGTTATCCTGCATGTCTTATCATATTTCCCAGTCTGTGTTGCTAAATACCTTTTTATCTTGCTTCCCTTGTGCTCTCCTCTCTGCAGACCACAAAGTGTACATCTGGCACAGACGCGGTGAACTTCCCATTGCTGAGCTGACAGGCCACACACGTACCGTCAACTGTGTGAGCTGGAACCCCACCATCCCAGGACTCATGGCCTCCGCCTCAGATGATGGCACAGTGCGTGTCTGGGGTCCAGCACCCTTCCTCGACTCACAAGAAGCGGACGGACTCAACGGTGAAAGCCAGATCTGTTTATAGCAGCATTGTTTGCTAAGAATTTATATTTGCTAAACTGAATGTTTAAGCCCAAAAATGAACATCAGTTTTGTATTGCATATCCTTTTACGTAGTGTAACATGTATCTATGAATTCTTTCCCTTAGAGAACTGCAGTAACATGGACAGTTGATGGTCACTTATGGGCCTGATGACATCTCTCTATATCAACAATCCAAGAATCCATCAATAAGTCAAACCTACACGGGCAAATTAGATCCAACACCGACCTAAAGCAAGTGAAGAAAAACAAACAAAAGCCACCAAGACAATAGAAAACAAAAGTGAGAATATTTTGTCTCCCGGCTGGCTAAGGCAGAACGGTGGAGTTTAAACAAGGACTCTGAATATTCAGGTTCTTGTCAAGAAAACCTGATTCTGGCCCAGAGGAAAACCAGTCAATGCCCAGCACATATGAGCGCCATCCTATGGTGAGCTTCAATGGCTGTTTCCCTCCATCCGACACAGGAAATCCACCTTGACCTGGAAGCCTCCCCATGATGCATTCAAGAAAGAAACAGCAGAGCAGCCGGCCTCCAATTGGACTACACCTGTCTGCCAGTTTGTCTATCACATCACCTGTATAATGTCTCCATGAACATGGGTGGGTTATTGTTGGGGGAGGATGGGGCACCGGGAGGAAATAGCAACTCTTCTGTTTGTATGTTTTCCCTTTTTCCCCCCCACTCTCTTGCTATATTTTCTAATTTGATCTGTCGGACATACAGCCGAAGAAACCCATAATTCAAACACTGACCGGCCAGCTGAGAAAGGACACACAAACGAAAAAGGCTATGCTAAATGTTCATTTTTTTTATGATAGTCATAGCGTAATTCTCATTTAAGAGGTGAATCTTAGCTTGAGTAGTGCCCGTGGAAAGCTTTAGCTTGAAGATTCCACTTTCTGTTTCTCGACATTAGGAACTTTTTTTATTCCTTAATTTAACTTCTAACAAGGACAGTCTCTGTACCTTCCCAACCCCCCCCCCCCTCCTGTCGAGCTAGCTACTGCACAACTCCATTCATCTGCCTAAAGAGGACACAGACAGAGGTATTCATGGGTCACATCAACGGTGAGCTTTCCTCTGTCAGGACACATATTATGACCTTTCTCAAAAAGACATGCTTTCAGATTTGAAAAGTGCTACTGGGATTGCACACTGGTGACGGCTGTTCCTCCTGTGTCTGTTTGTGTGTCTGTTTGTGTGTCTGTTTGTGTGTCTGTTTGTGTGTGTGTGTGTGCGCGCGCGTGTGTGTGCGTGCGTGTGTGTGTGCGTGTCACAGAAAGAGAGAACGAGTGAGTGATTATGCATGCACGCATTATTGTGAGAGTTGACATTTGTGGGTGCAGGTTTAATTGCAGCGTGTTTTTGTATGTGTGCTCTATTCACACCAGCAAAAGATCCCCCCCCTCCTCTATGCTCCTAATCCCATATAGTAAAAATTGTAAAGAGGATTTTAAACCAACTCTAAGTTATCCAAAGCCCCATAGGTACCTCTATCTGTGAAACAAAGAATACTTGAGAGCCATTTTGTAAAAGAAAAACTTTTTCTTTAATCTGGGGCTTTAATTTTTACATTAGAATTTATTTCTCCTTCACCATGTGGCATTTAAAACACCACTTACACTGTTATTGGAAAGAGAAAGGAAGTGTATAAAGAGCGATTGTTTCAAAAAGCTGTAAAATGTGTCATTGGCAAAGGGTCACTTCATATGAGAACTTAATGATTGTAAATTATAAGACGAATAGTTATGGAGAAGAGGCACCAATAACCAGAATCTATTTCAGCATTAGGGAGTGTTGATGCAATCCTAAAAACACACAAACACACACACACACACACACAAACTGCCTTCCTGTTTATACAGTTGCACACAAACTTTCAGTATGTATGCCCCCCCCCCCCAGCCTGCTCTTTTGCACCAACTGCAATCGCATAAATCCATAAAGTAATCTGAGATTACTAAAGGAATTGAGCCCTCATCTTGCTTTTATGCTCCCAAAAGCAGTGACTGATGACCCTGTCAAAAAAAACAACAACCTTAACCTCACAGCACAGAAGGCAAGGCACAGCAGCCTCGTATTACAGAGAATTCAGCATCCCACCACCCACCCCCTCACCCCACCCTTTGTTCTCCAGCCAAGTTATCCAGCGGTCAGTGCACCATTCAAAGCTTTCTTCTTCCCTTTTTTCAGGGTATGTAATGACTATTTGCTACAGACTGATATACAGTAAAAACATGTTTAAAATCAGTGCTTTTCTGCCTGTTTTTATTGAACTTTTTTTGTTACTTAAATTTTTTGTTCACATTATATCATTTTTTTGGTTGACCTCTATCCCTGTATGATCATATTAAAATATAACCAGACATTTTGAGTCCTCATTTTATTTTCTGTAATCTTTATAACCCCTTTTTTCCAATCTTTTTTTTTTAAACGTTTTTTGTTTCTTTATATTTCATTTCATTTTATCTACCACAACAATTAGAAATGAATATGCACAGTAACACCCATGCCAGTTGCATTGGGATTGGAGGTTGTTTTCTTTCAGTAAGTGTGTTGCCTACAATCAAATCAGGTCTGAAGTATCCACCCTTCGCCTTTAAGGAGTTTCCTTCATGTGAAAATCGACTTTATCGCATGTCTGTTTAATTGACCAGATCTTAATCTTTGTAAGTTGCCTCTGACCCATATCAGAGCCTATCACTGGAGGCACACCGGTGTTTTCTGAAGGCTACATGTCTTGATCCTTGACTGCAGAATGGACTCCTTTTCCACAACCTACATCTGTGACAATGAAAGTCACGACCAGTCACTTACCAAGAACTCGAAAAATAGTTGCAGTAAAGCCCGTCATTCACCTGCTGGTGGCAAATACTATGTCTGTATGCAACCTGGTGTCTACTCCTCTTCTGTCTGACTTTTCCAAGGGAGTTGTTTCTGATTTAACCATGTCTTATTTCTCTCAGAGGTCACAGAGGTAATGGTGGTTGTGTTGGGGAGGGGGCTGGGTGGGGATATAGTAAGGGCTTACTGTAGCATCTTTAAGCTCCTTGGCAAGGGCGTGGGGTGATGTGTGGCTTTGCGTTCGATGTTTTAATTACAAAAGTGATTGTACTGTTTTGTATTGTTGTGTAGGAAAAGTGTTATGTATGCATATTTTCAATAAAGCATTCAGGGTTAAAAAAAAGAAAAGAAAAAAAAGGCCAATGGAAGTTTGATGGGGCGAAAGATAGTGAAGGCCCCGAAACTCCCAACTTCAACGCAGAAAGGGAGTCCAGGTTGGCCCTGTATCACTGCTTTTGGCAAAGCATGTGTCAAGGGCTCTGTGGTGTGAAGTACAGTACTGAGTTTAACTTGTGTCAAAATTCTACTTTGTATTCAGTCATTTGTTTCTTGAAAGCAGTGTCTGGAGCCAGACCGTCTGGTAAAAGGCTATCTACAATGCCGTTAGGAATAATAAGAACAATTGCCAATAAAGTGACGTTATTTTTGAGAAAACCTTGTTTTTGCCCATATATTACACGTTAGAAGAAAACTTACAAAATGTATTTATATATTGTCTACTTTTTGGGACTTCAGGGGACCCGTAGAAGTCCCAGATTGTTCCAAACTAAAAATATAAACAGTAAAATATGAAATGATAACAACTAAATATACAATTAAATCATGTGAATGATCTAATACATAACTTGATTAATGCTTTACAAGCAGCATAGGCTCTGTCCTATTGTTTGACAGATCATTTATTTGTGGTTTTGCTATAAAGGAATGGGCCATTAAAAAAAATCATAAAACAAAATGACCTGAGAAACACATTTCTGTATTTGATTAAGATACCTGTAATGAGATGCTATTGTGGGGGGAAAATACCCTGAATACAAACAATTTCGTTATAAGGAGATGAAGATTTAAAGGTGTGCTGGATATCTTTTTTTGTGGTAGGCTATTAAATATTTGTTGTGTATTGAGTAAGAGCACGTTTTTGCATTTCTGTAATATTTGTTAAAGAGGGGTATTATTCCACAACATAAGGTGTATTGCGCCCCCTGGTGGAGATTTAAAACATGCCTTTAGAGAAATATTACAGCTATTACAAATAAAAGGTAGAAAACCAACAATAAATACAGTTTTACGCCCTAAAGGATGGGAAAAAGATCACATTATTGAACAGACCTTACAATACGCGTTCCGGTAATGAGGACTTGGATTTTAATATTGGTATAATATTTAGGATTTTTTTTTCACAATTTAAAATCCTGCTGTATTACTTTGAAAAAAAAACAAAAAACATTTTTATCGCGCTTCAGAAGGCTAGATGTCAACTTCAGAAAATCCCAGAACAGAAGACATGACTGTGATGTGAAAAAGCAGCAAGACACAACATATTCGAGCTTTCTCTTCCTCTAAGATAGCCCTATAAATGTAAATGTACTTTTCCGTAAAGTAAACGATAACAACACAACATCCATTAGTGACATTGGTTTGTTTTGCTCCTTCTGGCAAAGGGCGGATTTACGAAATGACGTCACATTGGACCGCCCACTCTTCTCTCTCTCTCTCTCTCGCTCACCCTGACTAACTCTCTCGCTGCCTCTCCATCTCCTTCAGTGTCTCGAATCCGAAAACAGAGCTCCGCGCTGGGGTCTGAAGTGGCCGCCGACAGAGCTCCGTGTTGCAGTCATGGCGGCTCCGTTAGCCCATTTTGACGAGGACTGGCAGGATTTTAACGAATTCAAGCCGTCCTCCGCTACCGCCGAGCAGCTGGACCAGCTGAACTCCAATGTGGGCGATTCGTCGTCGGGCCTAGACGATTTCTCCGACCTGGACAACAGTTTCTCCGGGGAGATATGCAGCTTCAAGTCGATGGAGGACCTCGTCCACGACTTCGACGAGAAGCTGACAGTTTGTTTCCGAAATTACAACACCGCAACGGAGAACATAGCGCCCATTAAACCCATCACAGAGGACAATTACCTGAAAGACGACGAGTGAGTGTGACTTTTGTGCCGCTTTTATTGACGCTAACTTTTAATCTCCTAGCGAGCTAGCCACGTTAGCCTCCGTAGGCTAACATAACACTGCAGTAGCCCCTGTAAGAGCGAGAGAGAGAGAGTGAGCTCAGCTGAAATCAGTGCTTTACAAAGTTCAGCTGACAGCTAGTTTCATACACTGGCACATCCAGAATACAGATCATTTCGTTTCATGGTTCAAAACTGTAGACGAGGGTCTTAGTGTTACCATTAAGAAACACGCCTCTTAGTTTGTTAACATCTGAACCAAGAAATAGTTTTTCTTTCTGTTGTGTGTGTGTGTTAGAGAGAGAGAGAGGAGGGGTCATGCCACGTTACCAATACTTCATTTTTTCATGCCTGATTGTTTTAACTTTTGAAACCACTGATCTGCCATCTGTACGTCCAACCTTACACATGTTTACATGCTTTTAAATGATCTTGATCACCATAGAGACAAACACTTCAGACTTTATACTTGACTATTAGGAGACCTGATGTTCCCTGTCACTGCAGACAGACACAAAATGTCATGTTTCATTAATGTAATTGTTACTTTCTCAAATGGTCCTCCCTTCTCACCACCACAGCCGTCCTTGATATCTCAGTCAGAGGTTCTCGTCGGTTGTTTTATCCAATCAGAGAACACATTCAGATGACAACAACTAGTCACATCATTTCCACCCAACAGGTGTGTTACAGAGTTGCGTGTGTTGAATACATTAAATCACTCACCTCTTGACTGATGTGGCCTGAACACACAGTTGATGATTCAGTTCACATGTCTTTCAAAGGAAGGAGTGGACAGAAGTATAAAAGTATCAAATCTCACCCCTTCTCCATAAGCCATTGGTTGATAACTATCCAGCTTCCTTTTTTTTTTAAAGTAAACCCATACATCGATACATGTTCTTAACAAAATAAATCAAGTCTTTGAAAGAATGGGTCGAAGGAGACAAGCTTTTTAAGCAAAAGCGACCTCATATGCACGAAGTCCACATGTCAAGTTCATGGTCAGGGTTCAGGCATCGTGATAGGAAGTTATAATTTCAGGGGGTTATTTATTTCAAACCTTCTTGCGTAAGTACGATTAAGACACGTTTCTGTGTTTCAATCTGGAGGTTACACTGTGGAACAGTTTCCATGTAGTGATGGAGCAATGTCCAAACATGAATCTGTTTCGGTTTTCAAAACATATTTTTTTCCCACTGTAAATAACTGAAAATCAGTTATAGCTCAGTGGGTGTGTGAGTGTTAACATGTTTATAAATGTGTAAGATTAATCAGATATTCTTTGCAAAATATAATCAGATATTTATACATAAAAGATAAGTGGTCAATATTTAGATAATATACAAGTATTACATTTATATATTTTTTTGATAAAGATGCATAAAATAAATGTGTGTTTTGAAATAACAAAAAGGATTTAAGTAAATTCACATTTTTTAAAAATAAATAAGAATAAAGGTTACTGAAGTTTAATGAACTAACATATTTATTCATATCAGTTGGTAACTGGCCATGAGAAATGCTAATTTGTGACAGGAATAAAGAGTTCCTGTAGCTCATTGTGTGACATAATTGTAACTTTGCACACTGACAGTAATAGAGGTGATTATGGAGAGCTTTTTATCACACACTTGTAGCTACTTGCAGTTCGTGTTGCTCTAAATGTTGAGGGTGAATAAAGGGAGGCCGGTTCTACAGAGAAGCATCCATGGTTGATAAAGGTGAAGACACAGAGGAAGGAGGGTACAGAGAATAATTGGACAGCAGCCCGGCGAAGCCCAAAGAGCAGCGCCAGGCTCAGCGAGAGTCTTTTCTGGATGACTGCACTTTGCAGGACGTGCTCAGGCGCTTAACAAGTTCTCCTCTTCTTCAGTGAGGCTGAGACGAACAACAGGGATGACAGGGAGGAAATGTGGCTTAAAGTTCATGTGAGAACGCCTGGAGAAAGCGAAATGTGTTCGTGTTGAAGCCAATTTGTGTACGTGTGTGGATTATGCGTGTGCCCACGTGTGATAAAACAACATCCCCATAAATGTATCCAAGCACGTTATTCAGACAAATTGGCACAGCGCTGAAGCGGAGACGAGAAAATTGTTCCCTAGAAATTTAGACTGGCCTCGTTTTCAAATTGAAACGCTCTCTGTGAAACTGAAACTAATTTGTGTATTTTGGCGTGCGCTCACGTGCCTGTGACTGCCTCTGCTGGAGGGACAAAATATGTACCCTGCCAGCCTTTGCCCTATTTAGAATGACCCCCTCAGCCCCCCACTCACCAGGCTGTGCATGAGCACCCCAGGGAGACACATGCAAGTTACATAAACATTTGTCCTTGTTAGTGTGTGTGAGTGTAAGGGAGGGTATGACGATGCAGAGTCACTCTGACACATGGCTTCACAGCATCCTTCCCCGCTCTGCTTGCAGCATTAAATGCCCAGAATAAAGAATTGGCTTGCACGTGCACTTCAGTATTAGATTCTGCTAGACATGTTTTAAACCGTCATAAAAATGCCTTAAAAATGTGACTTTTGTCTTCAAATGGGAACCAAGCAAAGTGGAATTCTTATGAAGTAGTTATAAAGTTGCATTGATTTTAAGACCAACAAATCCTGAATGAAACACTTAAGCCCAGTTGAGAGTTCTGTATGAGCACAAAAAGAAACATTTGTTCAAATCACATGTTGCACATATTTTCCAACATTCCCTCAACTCTGCTAGCCAAGTTTTTAGAAAAAGATGGATTTCAAAGTTGAACAGTAAACTTGTTTGCTCCTTCACCGTCGGCTCAGCTGTGATGTCCTCTCTCCACCAAATCTCGTTGTTGCAGAGCATCGTATACATGGTCCTACCGTGGCACTGTTTCTGAATGATCCCAACTTTAGTGGGCATTTCTAGAGATGAGTTCGGCAGGGGCGACGAGACAGTTTGGTGGACCTCTGCTTTAAGGTTGAGATGCAATACATGTGTCTACTTTTAAATGATAAGTTGTTGCTTTCTTATGTGTTTTCAGACACTTGCTGTGAAATGCAGCAGAAAGACAGTTCCTTAAGTGGTAACAGAGCGATAAGATCGCACGGTTGACCTGCTGTGTCACAATAAAAAAAGAGAAGGAAATGGGTTTATTTGATCAACTCTGACATGTCTTATTCCATTTCTTGTTTCTTGTTCTTGTTGCATCAAAATGTAAACCCCTCTTGGTCTTCCCCAGGGTGTGGAATGCTCTAACGGATAATTATGGCAACGTGATGCCGGTGGACTGGAAAACATCGCACACTCGCTCCCTACACCTGCCCACCCTCAACCTCACTGAGCTCGAGGTACCTCTAATAAAAACAAAAGTGAACGATGCACGCTTGATTTTCATTCTCGTGCTTTGTTTTTCTAATGTCATCTTGCAGGAGAGAAGCCATATGTAAATAGTTTGCTCCTCCGTCTTCAATCTGCTCAAACACCTGTTTCCACTCTCTCTCTCTCTCCTCTTTCCCTTGATTGACAGAAGTTGGACAACCAGTCTCTGGATCTGTCAGACGACGAGGAGCTGAGGGAGCAGATGGACATGCACTCCATCATCGTGTCCTGCATCAACAATGAGCCGCTCTTCACAGCTGAACAGGTAAACTGTTCATGGCCACGGTGGTGTGGGATTTAAGAATCAAAACAACAATGTTCATTTAACTTATCAAGACCAGCTGACAACATGCTTTAAAAGAATAATAACTGATATACACCATTATGTAAGGATGAAACAGACAGGAGTAAAAGAGGATCGACTTAAATAATTGAAGACTAAAAACTACAAATAAGGATCAAAAAGTATAAAAGAAATAAAAAAAAACACAAGAGATACACTACTCTGCAAATCCCAAGCTTCTTTGTTTCCTGTGTTTGGGACCTTGACAACTTGCTACATTCTTACATAATATTGGAAAAAGACGTCAAGCTGGGTTGGGTTGTAGTTAGGTTGCATATCCAGTTTACACATACTAAAGTCTTCAAAGAAGGCAGACATGGTTTGAGCCCGACCCATGGCTCCTTTCTCTCATCTCTCTCTCTCTCTCTCTAACTCTCTCTCTCTCTCTCTCTCTCTATCCACGACTTTCTACTCTGTCCTCTCAGGTAACGTCATAAAAGCCCATGTCATAAATCTTAAGAATAAAGGCTCCAAGATGTGATGAAGGCTTCTTATTGTCTGACCAGTGTCAGCTTAGTGGAGTTAATACTCTTGAGTGCATTCAGTTTGTTCTGATTTCTCGATGTAACCTTATTCAGCATCTCAACAATCCCTTCATCTTGTTTGGAGTTTCTTTTCTTCCTGACATGCTTTTATAAATCTTGTGATAACCTAAAATAGATTTCAGAGAGACAAACTACAAACAGGACCAAAATAGTAACCTGAGAAATCAAGTCATTGTTCCATGAAACAAATAACTCTATTTGCTGACTAGATTCCAGTTGAGGGACATCTCCAAATATCCAGTAATGACTTATAACAAACTCTTGTGCTGTGGCGTTACAGCAACTTTAATCTTGAACTCTGACAGAAGAGTCAGTACATTACTATACACTGATGTGGAAAATAACATACAGGAAGTTTAATGTGTAAACTGCAATGCCAACTGAACGTGTCAACATGTTTGTGCGTTTGTTTGTCCAGGTGATCGAGGAGATAGAAGAGATGATGCAGGAGTCTCCAGACCCAGACGATGATGACAGTCCTTCACAGTCCGACCTCTCCATGCTCTCTCAGGACCTCCATGCCCTGAAACGCTCGGGCTCCAACACCAGCTACGAGGACCGTGAGTACCACTGTTTCTGTACATGTTATACTGTTAAAGGCACCTTGTGTTCCTGTGTGTTTATTTATTTATGATTTAATTGATAGGGACATATACAATATACATAGAAAAACTGAAAACAGCAATCTAATGCAAGTATCATAGTGTTTATAGCGGATGATATTTGCTATTTATATAAACATTGTGTGTCTGACACAATGACACTCTGATGTTTGACATCGATCTCAAATCACTTCATAAAGTGTTGATAAGTCTGACAGTTCGGCACGTGAAGAGAAACGCTATGCACTCATGCACACACGCATTAACTTTCTTATGTAATGTGTAACAAACGCACACAGACAGCAGTTATGTTGTTCTTACTTGTTATATAATCAACAGCATATACTGTATTTGGCTCTCACACAGTTTCTGCTGCCACACTTGTGTAGACTTTGCATTTTCACCCAGTTTGCCTTAAGGCTGTAGAGTTATGTTTCAGATATCTGCTTATATGAACATCTGTATGTGATGTGTTTTTCATCTTATAATGTCAAATCCTTAAAGTGTATGCACACGTTTTCAACTTACATTTGAAATTATTCAAATTTACCAAGAGACCGCAGATCACCATACGATTAAAACCATCATTTTTGTCCCGCAAATCTCATCATCAGTCTCAGATGCTTGTTTTAGTAACCAGACTAGCTGCAAACAGAGCTGATGCTTATTTGACTAAACCCCTTCAGCCTGTTGAATTATGCATCAAAACATGACAGGCACATGGCTTCAAACATTGAGAAAGTAATGGGCTAAAGCTGACAGTGGCCTGAGAGGTAAACCAGCGGAGTCATGGAGGCTGAGGAACAGTTTTGTGTGGCCCTCATCTGAAAAAAGGAGCAAAAAGTCAAAGCTTTGTAATCAGTGGTTAAATTACATTTAACTGACACAATTCTTCAACAGCCCTATCATGTTATATTTAACATTTGATTGTATAAGAAGCCATCATTTAACAGTTAACATGCATTATTCAACATTATAATGTTGTGTGTTCCATGCAGTCATTCAGCTCCTACAGTCAAACCATCACCTACTTGTGTTAAAGAGTTGATCAGTCTACCTCAAGCACAACTAATACTTGAGGACTTGTATGATACTTTGCTTCCTGCTGATTTACTGACACACGATCCTCAGGGCTGCGACATCTCTCTGTGTCTGAGCTGACCGAGACTCTGGAGGAAGTGGAGACGGCCATCCGCCGCTACAGCGAGGAGCTGATCCAGGCTCTGGCCCTGCGGGACGAACTGGACTACGAAAAGGAGGTACTTCAAATGTTGTATCATTTGAATGATAATACTGCTTCAGCATGAACACGACAAAGGCATCACCAAAAGCTACATCTGTGTCTGCTGAAGTTTTGAAAAGCTAGAATGGATCTAAAAAAGAAACGAGTTCAGATTATTCAAATGTATTGTTTGTTTGTAAACGTCAGAACAACATACAGAAACCTCCTGAATCGTTCGTGAGTTTCTCATGTGTGAACACAAACAATCACATTTTTCACCCAAACTTTAGACGTTCTTTTTCCTCCCAGCCCACAAGTTAAATCCCCCCCCTCCCCTGTCTTATGGTGCATTCCATTTACCCTCGAGTTGACCCCGTTCAGGTTGCTAGTTGGCAACAAGTCGACAAGCAACAGGAACGCATCCATGAGAAGCTAATACCAGGCGATAACAAACACACTACGGGAAAGTTTGCTCCGGAAAATCACATGACAACATGTCTACAAATCGAACTTGCTCGATTGTGTCAGTGTGATTGATTTAATTACACATAAAGAGGACTACTTTGCTAATAAGCACAATAGTTACAGCTTTAACGTGACTGTTGATGTATGTAGCAGCCATGATGGATTTTTACTCTGGTTCTCTGATTTCTCACGTGTGAACCAGCATCTCAGAATAATGTATCGGGCAAAAGCTACTGAAATTTATGTGAAATTCTCAGGAGTGCTTGTGTTGGTAACGGCTTTAGAGAGATCAGAGAACCATAGCAGCTTTACATTAACAGTGTAATCTGCTTTGACGACACAGTGTTGTATTTATGAAATTTCAAGTGTAGATAGAAATAGACATCCTGTCAAACATACAAAGGTAGTGCAGAAAATGAGTCCTTCTTTACTGAAGACTGTTCACAGAATGGACAAGAGCTCTCAAGGAGTGAAGCCAAAAGATAAAGAGCTCCCCCTGCTGACTGGCTGCAGTATAGGTCATTAACCCCACCTCGTCCATGCAAACAGATGGGACATGTGGCAAACTTTAAAAGTCAAATACATTTTTCTCATACATGCTTTCAATCATCATGTTGATTTCTGTCCAAGTTTTTACTTTGTTGTGAAGTTTGGTTAAAATGAGTGATTTGATACAAAAACAGAGCGCATGTGATGTCATGATTGACAGCTCTGTCGACAAGTGCTGTCTCAACCTGATTGTCAGAATAGAAAAAGAACGCGTACACTAGAATCTGTCCCACTGTGGACTGAACTCACCTGAGGGATCTCTACGTGTTGTGTTTGATAACAGGTGAAGAACAGCTTCATCTCGCTGCTGATCGACGTGCAGAACAGACAGAAGGAGCACCGCGAGCTGCTGCGGAAGAAGAAGAAAATCAGAAGTACGACAACAACCGGGCCCAACGGCCAAAGGACAACCAGCACGCACATACCGGGCACGGTGAGTCAGGTGGTGACACAGTGTGGGAGGCATGAGTAAACACATGAGCTCTGTGTGCATGAGTGTAATGACGATCAGTGAAATAGACACACAGAGACACACACACACACACGTTGAGGTTGTCGTAGAAACACATGCTGCATGACCTGACAGATGGATGCTTTCATACTCACACAAAGGATTGGTGTCAAACCTTTTTTCCTTCTTCTCCTCTGAATATAGAAGCGTCCTTATCTCTGTTTACTCTCTTTTTTTTCCCTCCTTCCTCGTGCTCCTTGTAGCTCCTCACTCTGGAGGGACTCTCCAATGTCATTCAAAATGGCCTCCGTCAAACTTTTGGCAACACAGGAGGGGACAAACAGGTGCCCCTGCTCTTTTCTTCTGACTCACAACTTTTGTCTTTTTTCTCTTCTTTTCTTTTCTTCTCGTTTTTCCGTTTTCATCACCAGCGTGTTTGTTTCTTTTTCAACAGCGTCCACTGGTCTTTGTTCATCTATTTCAACTTTTTTTATGTTATTGTTTGATTGATTTAATTTACTTTTCTCTACTTCAGCCATGCTTCATCTTTTTACATATAAACCACTGACTGCTCTTTGTCTTTCTTTTTTCACTTGTCAGTTTTTGCAGCTTTTCTTTGTGCCATCATTTTAATGTTCCATTGTTTTAAGCCAAGGAGACCCAACTTTTTAATGTGGGAAATCTTGAACCAACTACCAGTTACCTACAAGTCTCTGCTCCTCGCATGTCCTGTGTATTTATCGACATTCATCATATTTAATCACCCCTTTACAACGAGACCTTTTTTTGTTTAAAGAGTAAAATCCACAACCAAACAGTGAAAGTATTTTTTGTATTCATCGACCTTCATTTGTGACGGTATTCTTATAGCGTCTTGCATCATGTTTTCTCTTTTTAGTATCTGACCACAGTAATCCCATATGAGAAGAAAGCAGGCTCCCCACCAGTCGAAGACCTCCAGATCCTCACAAAGAGTGAGTCCATTTCATTTATTTATTTATTTATTGACACATGAATCAACATATCAGCAAATAGCATCCATGAAATATGCAGGAATTAGCAAAGAAGCTGAATTAAATCCGTAGTCCTAAAGTTGCTGCTTCCATCCTTGTGACTTGTTTCTTTGCAATCTCTCTTGATGTTGCTTCCATGTATGTTCTGTCATCTAACAATCTGCATGTTTTGGTTTGTCTTTGCTCTGCTAGTCCTCCACGCCATGAGGGACGACAGCGAGAAGGTGCCTGCCCTGCTTACAGACTACATCCTCAAAGGTAAACACAGTTGTCAAGTCAGTTGATTCAGTATTTACCGCTTCTCCATACACTGATGTGAGCAGGAGGGAGAGCTTGTTGATCACCTTTCTCTAACTGTACCTACAAAAAAAGTAGCATTTATTCTGAGGTGTGTGATTATTGTTTGTGTCTGTTCCAGTTGATATTCAGACATACTGTTCCGCCTCTATAAGAGAAGAAGCACAGATTTATAGACTTTTATTATCAGGGATGCTGATGGTAGAATAAAGAGGGGAGCAATAAAGAAATAGAAAAATCACACTCATCACAAACATGAATTGAAAGAGGGGAAAAAATGCTTCTGTGTTGACCTGTATGTTCCTTGTCTTTCGTCTGTGCTGCATTGTCCTTTGGGTAGCTCTGGTATGAGAGCAGTGGAAACTGAGGTTTGTGAGGCACTGACACATTAACACAGATTCTTCACCTTCAGCTTTCTCTTCTGAGCCCTGTCGACCTCTTTCTCTCTCAGTACGCCTTCGTAGCAACAGTATCTCCTTCCCCGAAGCAGCTGCCTTCTCTCTCTAACTCACTCACTCACTCACTCACTGCAGTTTACTTCCCGTAGTTCTGAGCAGCTACATCTAACCCTGAAACACACCATCACCCTCATTCACAACCCCACTCCCCCCCCTTTTCTGCAAGCTTGTAGTAGCAGCCGCTCTCTCACCTCTCTCTTCTCTCAGCCCACATTTTTTCCCCCCATTGTCGTAGTTGCTCTTCCATTTTTCCCAGCTCTCCTTCTTGTGCCACTTTTGGACTCAGGGTAATCATCATCTGATCTGCTTTTGTCTCCACAGTTCTTTGTCCCACGTAAGGCCAAAGGCGAGCCTCCTGTTTCCAGAACCACCCATTCCACCGTCATGAGGGTTCTGGTAATCTGGAAGAAATGAGAACTAGACTGTCTATCCTTACATTTTTTTTTCCTTTTGTTTGAACTCTACCATTTGTCGCTCCGAAGATTTTAACTCTAGATATCCTCGGTCCTTATAGATCTTTTCATTCATCATGTTTAAATTTTTCTCTTGCCTGAATTCTACAACACTTATGTCATGATTGCATGATGACTCATCTATGGATGCTGGTAATCAGTATCTATGCAACACTTTACTTCCTTTATAGCCAGTTGCTCGTAGAAACAGAAGGGTCAGTTGATTTTGAATCTTTGATTTTGAGGCTTTCTCAGTAAGGGTGGAAATGCATCGCAACCTTTCTGCTTTGTAAATCAAATCTATTTGCATCAGTCCAGCCCATACCTGACAGAGATAAACAAATCCTGGCAGGATATCGAAGTGCCAGGTGGGTCGTTGTATGAAGCATTAATCCTGATTTTTTTGCTTCTATGATGTTGATTGGTTCCTTGATATAATGACCTTGGGTAGAAACCTGCTTGCTAAGGATCAAAGAGCAAACCCTTTATTTTGAAAATCCCAGATCATTTGTCCAACTGTCTCTGCATGTTGATTTTGGGGTTTCTGCTCAATGTTAGCTGTTAACTGAAGGCTCAAATGAAATATTTTGTATAAGATTAAGAGAAATTGCACAGTTTTGGGAACTTTTTTACTGTTTGAAAAAGGGAAAAAAATGTGAAACGACTTGAGAAAAGTAATGAAGCTGAATGAACAAACATGTAAAGCATATTTTTGGAGATGGATTTTGGCTATTTTTGTGAGATTAGGGATTTTCCAGTTGCCAGTTTTGAGACCAGATAGCAACACCATTTTGTAAATGCTGTCCATTGACCTCTGAACCCTCAAGTAGTGACCGCCATCCCCAACAACTTTATCACTTCCCCCAGGAGTCGTGTGAACATTCAAATACCTCGTATGACGTAACTGCATTATAAAAGACCGAGGACTGAACAGGTGGAGTCTACACGAGTAGGCTCGTTCAGATCATGTCTGGTTTGATAATAGAGTAGTAAAGCTTCTGTTAAAAACCTGTGGGTTAACCCTTTAACTGTTGTGATCATGTTGTGGTAGTGCTTTAGTCGGCCAGTGATCTGGTCCTGTGTGTATTAGTGGAGAAATGTGGTGGAGGTACTTCTGACTAGATTAGTTGAAGTTTAGAAGCTTTAAGCGTGTGGTGCCAAAAGCACGTCAACATAAACAACTGTTGTCGTGCATCCTTTTTCATGTTTACCTTATTGGCCAGCATAAGAAATTAAACCTTAAAGGGGGACTACAAAGATTTCACATTGAAGTCACTTAAGATATGTTATGAAGGGTTATTCAACCTCTAAAAACAGGGGTTAACTCTCTTCAGAAGCTTTAGTCAAAGTAGAGAAAATGATGTCATTGTGATGACATCAACAGTTATCTTGACTCAAGACTAACTATTTTAACACATAGTCTCTGTTACAAACTTGCTATACAAAATCAAACTCAAAGAGAATTTCCAACTGAATTTAAAGCTCCTGTGAGGAACTTTCACTTCATGCTGATTCTGGTGAACCCTGCGGACAAAGCTGTAGGTTTTATTTAAATGCTGATTTTTGTCCTGTACACGCCACAGCATGTGTTTTGTTGAACAAAAATGTATTTTTTTTAACAGTCAGATGTATCACACATCAAAAGTCTTTGCCATGAAAAATGTCCCAAAGGTTTGTTTCTGCAGCGTGCAGTTCACTTTCTGTGACACCTTCCCTGCTGCTGCAGTTTCAGGCTTTAACAGTAACAATACAGAAATAGTGGGTCATGTCTCAGGACACATTTGTAGCTCACAAAGAGACATCCGTATTAATGTCAGCTCCTGTTCTAATGATTGAAAAGTCCCCACAGGAGTTTTAAGGAAATAACAATCATATCTTTTTGACTTCTCCTCCTTATTAAATGTGAAACACACAAGCCACCCAGGTGTATGGTAGTCCAATATGAAATCACCGCATCATCCCTTTAAAGCTGGACGCACCACTAATCAAGCACTGCATGTTTACAATGAGCTAAAGTTAACATTCAGACCACCAGCTACTACAGGTGCACCCCACGCTGTCACATCAGGTATAGTGCAGCTCTCAGGTATGATCTCCAGTGTTAGTAGATTCAAATCTTATTCTGAAAGGTACTGACATTCCTGAGCCTTTGTATATTTCTTTCAACGTTTTACCAGTAAGACTGGCTGCACTTTTTGCAATCTCCGAATACCTGAAAACAAAAAAAACGTGGCAGCCTCTCCACTGAAATCAGGGTAGCATTACAGATGTTGATAATGTCATTTATTGTTCAAACAGTTTGAAGTGGTTTTCTCTGCTTAGTAGCAACAGTAGTAGGTGTAGCCAGTATCAGTAGCATCCTCTTGGTGTAGCAACCTAGTGACAGTAGAGTAGTTGCGGTTGTAGCTTCTAGCAAGCAAACTTTGATTCATTAACAAAGTCAGTGGTTAATATGCAGGAGCAAAGGAATGAACTTCTACTGCTGACAGTTCTTAAGCACATCTCTGATGCATGTGGTCAGGTGTAGGAAGACGAAAAGGGGTGTGATAAAGTTCATGGACGTTGGGGGAGGTTGCACAATGCGTTGCTTCAACATGAGAGGTTCATGTATACTTTTTAAAGAAAGACTTTCTGTGTTGTATTTAACTATTTATAAGTACATGTTCTTCTTTCTTACCCTTCTTTGGAAACATTTGTAACCTAGCATGTGCTAATGCAATGTACTGCTAAAAACACATCTATAATACTGATTCATTCCTTTATGGACTTGTTAGTGTCACACTAAAGGGAAAAGTGCATGTTACAAATAAAGTGCAGAAAAAGCAGAAATATTGAATTTTAACTGTTGATACGTCATCAAAGAGGGTTAATCTCGAGTAAGCTCTCGGAAGTATAACACACGAGCCATTTTCAGAACGAAAAACCATGAACGGATCAAAATGTATCAAGTCAACATCTTTGTAAGTGGATCTTTAGTTTTATACTGAAATGGCAGTCAGGACGGAGGAGGATCTCTTCTAAGGCCAGAGCTCCTCATCAGATCTCCTGTTAGCACACATATCAATGGAACTACACTTGAGAGGTTTCTATATTTCTATATTTACAACGAAAACAAGCAACAGAAAAAAAAGGCTGCCTTTGTAAATGCTGAACATTTTTGTACATTAAACCAACTTCCTCTTTTGTTTTAAATGCAATATAATTCCCAGTTTGGGTTTTTTTTTATGTTTACTGTCTCATGTGGTACTGCAGTGTATTAATTTATTGTGTTAATGTTTGTTTTGTAACCATATTATTGACTGTAATGGTACAAGTGTTTTGTGCCCTCATTGCATTGCAACTCATTTCAAATAAATGAATAGGTGATGACTTTAATGTGTTTAATGTGTCTTGTCTGTGAGGTGGGTGTTTGATCTTTGACATGTATATGTTTTGGGGACAGACATTACTTTAAGGGAACAAAGTGCAAGTCTCTAATAAACATGATTATATTCTAAGGGGGAGACTCGGTGGAAGGTCAGGATATGGTAAGCTTAAGGCAACAGGGCGTTATGGTCTCTGGTTCATTTAACAGGAATTCAATTTAAAGCTGTTTTCACACATCAACTCCTGAAAATGTCAGGACAGCCTGCCTCTGATAGTTTACAAAGTTTCTAATGAAAAAAAAGCTTCTTTTCTTTTTTGGTTGGTGTTTGAGGTTGGGGAGTCCCGGACATAAACGTGTATCGATGTCATGACCCCAAAAGTGACCTTAAATGTGTTTGTGTGTGATTTGTGAAGCACATTTTTTAAGCACCATGTTATCAGATCTATTCAGTACCAACGGCCCGTACATACAATTCACCTTTATCTGTGTAACACATTTCATACAAAAGTAAACTCAATGTGCCTGCAAGAAATCAATCCCCCAATGTAGAGATATGATTTTACTAAACAATGACGTTGGTGATATTGTCATAGGTTTTTTTTTAATCAAACATTTATTATAAAAGTTTAAAATGTATTTATTTTTCAACCATCCACAAAAAATATAATATACATGTATAATAATTAATTCATTTTTCATAATGTAAATCGATAAATATGAAAATGTGTCTCTTGATAACATCTGAATCTGTTGCTGTCAATTACTTGTATTTAATAGAGACTGAGATGTTGCAGCAGATTAAATGTGCCACTTCTTTTAAACTCATGTCAGATTTTTAAAAACATCACGATTTAATGTTTTGTTGATATAAAAGTTAGTCAGCCATCAAAATATCAGTCGAAATTCTTCTATACCAAATATTTTCTGTATAATCCAACAATACGAGATTAAAGACAATACTTTGTGTGTATGCTATCTCCTTTATCGAAAAAAAAAGAATTGATGGCACTTGCAAGCTGCATCCATCCGATTCAATTTCACCAAGCAGACAGTGCAAGTTCACCCCAGGTTGTTGTTGTTCCATCAACCAGAAAGCATCAAAGACAGCTCCAAACTTTTCCAATCAAGGTGAGCTCATTTCAAATTGTTTGAAACAAATTAGTTTTTGTACAATTCTTACAAAAAATACCTGATAAAAGCGCGCCCCCTAGAGGGGAAAATATAGAAAACAGCTTGAATAGATGATCATGCCCCACAGTGTCTTTGGTTTCTTTGTGTTCCTCTCTAAGAGAAGTGCTCAGAGACTGAATTCAGTGTTTTCTCTTCCAACTCAAATCTGGACCAGGATCGTAACATTCCCACTTTCTTTCTCCTAGTCGCCTCAGTAACTCCAGTTTACATAGTAACAGTCAATACTCAGAGCCTCTCCTGTTTAAGACTTTTAACCAGCAGCAGTGTAACTGGTCAGGGCCAGTGTCCTGTCAGGTTCAAAGTCACCCTCATGAATCACAGGTTGGTGTCAGTGAACATGGTGTGCTCCTTCCTCACTGTGCTGAAACCTTTGATGGTGTCAACAAACTCCTCATCATCCATAAACTGTGAGGGAGAAGAACAGAGGTTGTTAAATTGACCCTGCAACAGATATTTAGTCACTGTGAAGTTGATTAAATCGATCTTTCTGTAAATGGTTGATTGGGATAATGTGTACTTGTTAAACCTACAGTATGTGTTGATATTTTAGTGCAAAGTTGTGAAAATGTGTGTTTCTATTCTCCTTTTTTATCTATGAACACAGAATTGAACACAGAATTGAAGCAAGTGAAGGCTAATTTCACTTAGTTTTTATTCCTTTTTTGCACAGATAATAAAAATAATGTTGGAGAAGCTTCTGAAGGAAAGATTCCAACATGGCAAAACCCCAAAGCGACAAAGCAAGGACATAGACAGGAGGTTGGGGTCTCTTACCATCCCACTGTCATGGCCTGAAATGTTCGGGTCCCACACGTCGTCGTCTCCTGTGGATGACTTCCCGTCCATCACCTGGCTGACACTGCGCCTCAGAGAGTTCACACTGAGGATCCCCAACTCACCCTGCGCGGGGGGGGCCTCATCACCCAGCTCACATTTAGTTTCCAGCACTTCCTGTCCGGAGAGGAGGAATTTAGATATGTATGCACATGTGCATCTACATTTCTAGTATGTATCACTTCAGCATATAGGTTTGTACCTCTATCTTCATGGTGAAGCCCTTCAGTGTGACACTGTTGGAGAAGCCTGTCGTGTCAGGTACTGAATCAAACTAGAGAAAAGGTGGAGGAGATGAACACACAAGACACATCAGCCTATAAACACCACATTTCCCTCTGCAATAAAAAACCCTATACACTATGTAGTATATAATAATACTATACTATATTATACAATACTGTATTATACTATATAACAAATAAAAAAAGATCTATTGGACAAGATGAAAGTTTTTCTAGGGTTTTCCTTTAGATTAAATATTGAACATGACCGATGGCAAACTGTGTCTAATATAAAAAACATTTTAAAAGCTTTCGAGATTTTAAAAGAAGAAGAACTAAATACATCTTAGAAGAACAATTATTTACGATTAAAAGGTGCATAGTCTCTTCCCACATCAAAATTTCCTCAAAAATGATCTCTGATCTCCCTTTCTTCAAATTCACCAGGCTGTAAGTACATCTTGACATCTTTTATCGCAGCAGGTATCCACAGTAGTTAAGACCCCTGTGACTATAATCAAGTTCGTACACTTGAATGTTATGGGTGTAGTACAACATAAGAAGTGGTTCCCTCACCAGGACAGAGTTGCTGGCTGGATAAATGGCCCTGGGGCTCCTCTTCTGCATGGCCACCAATGGGGGTCTCTCCCTGGTGAAGGGGGGTTTGTTCAAGGCCTAGGATCATGGATCATTCAATCAATCAATCAATCAATCAATCAATCAATCAGTCATTATTTGTATGGACAAAGAAGAAACAGCCTACTTAAAGACAAGTTGCTGGAAACATTCCTTCCCTGTGTGTTTCAAAAATGTCTCTCACCTTGTGAAGTACAACACCTAACAGGACAGCCAGCAGCAGCAGGGCGATAGCTGCCATAACTACGATGAACCACAGCTCCTGGACGACTGGCTGCTCTCCCTCACCTCCCTCTGCCCGCTCACTACTAGCTCCTTCCCCTCCTCCAGGAGGAGTGGAGCTCTGTGAATCTGGATTATAAAAATAAAAATAAAAACACTATTTCAATAAAGTGATTCTGTTTGTGTCACAACAAAAGAATGTTTTCTTACTCATTACATTTATTTTAGAGGTGATAGTTGTTGCTTTTCTTACAATCATCAAGTGACCAAGTCAAATGTTTCAGACTACAAATGTGGAAATATCTTCAATAACATTTCTGCTCATCTTAATGTATCTTTATTATGAGGGGTTATCATGTTTGCTTCACCCCTTTTGTCTGCCTTCATTGTAGTCACTCTTATTACAACAGAGTAGATCATAAGTTAACCCTGTTATCTCTACAGCACTGCATTGTCTGATCGTCTTTCTTTTGAAATGTAATTTGAGACATGCTTGTTCTTGTGGCCTAGTTTCTATCTGCACATACACTTACAATCTTCAGTAATGATCAAGACCATATAATATAAAGAAGTTTAAACAGTATACTGGTAGGTCTCGAAGCCAACATGGTTTAGATATTGTTCTTGTAAAATGAAGTCAAGTAAAAAAGTGCATGGATAGAGAAGTGTCTCCCTGCAGAAACTCACCAATGCTGAGGTCCGTGGTTTGGCCTGTGGCGGGGGTGCTGGCAGCCCCTCGCTGTGTGATACATCAATCAGACGACCTGCTGTCTGTTCAGGATCACACCTGTCGTCACATCAATATTTAACACCTGATACTTTAACGTGCTCTCTTCAGATGCACTAAGATGACGGACGACTTGAAGCAAGTCGGAGTTCCTCCATGTCTTCTTCCTGCCCGGTGGCTGATGTTTCCTCGACAGCACAAATAAGAAACATAGTATTACAGGTTAAAGCGTAGAACAGGTTGCATGTGTCCACCGCTATGCTCGAAAACTCCCATCAACCTTTGCTTTCCCTCAACAGTGCCATGGTAACTGCTGGTGTCAGGTTGCCGTTTACCTGAAGAGGCCATATCATCACTCTGATCTTCACATGTACAGTTTGTGTGTGTGCTCTTTCTTATAAGGATATATGTCACATGTGTGTCATGCTCACATAATATATATCCTCTATCTAAAAAAGTGTAGTATTGTGCATGCTGTATTTTTGGTCTGTTTGTATCTGACATTCACCACCAAGGAAACAAGGGGTTGGCATTTGGTTGTTTCATATTGCACTGTAGGTTTGTTTATGCAAATGTACATACATGATGTATTTCAATTCAATTCAAAACCTTTATTTGAACTCGAAAGACACTGAGGTTTTTCATTTATTTTGATGATTGAGCGTTGATACTATGATTATGTTCAATACTCTATTTAATGAACTTTCTGTTGAACCATTTTGAGAATGTTTATGTGTATGTCTACACACTGCCAACTCAACAAAAAGTTGTTCACAAAAAAGAAAATGTAGCAATGACTGAGTTTAGACAGAGTAGACACTGAAGATGATATGTCAGAATACATCAAATATTACATAAAAACATCATATCCATTATTTTGCTGTATCAATTACTTCATGGGAAATTGTATGATGAGTCTGTCTGAATATTTTGTGCAACTGTCTTTTTTTCCCCTGGACAATAAAAACACTAATATGTACAGTAACTGTAAATTGTAGATGTCTTCCCTGTTTGCTTTTATGGATTTTTGTTGCAAACAACCAAGTGTCTTAAGCCATATGTAATTACAAAAAAGCTGAGAGACAAAGCTCTAATGTTAAGTGTAGACATACTGCTGCTAAAATCTTTAGGCTGTCACTTGAATACTAGGAAAGAAATTCTAGTTTCAGTGTATTAGGTGCAATTTGCCCTCCGACCTCATGGTGGCCCTGAGCAGCAGCAGCAGCAGGTTGTTTTGTTGCGATGCAGCCTACGAGGAGAAGCTCAACATGCAAGCACAGTCTCAGATATTACTGCTCTTCTAATACTGATGCTCAATTTATGACTTCATATATTTTCTTAATATAAGCCATGTCAGCCTGTCAATGGTGTACCTGATGGTATCAAGATAGAAATTATTTGTTTGTTATTTTGTATATGGATGCAGACACAGTGGAAAATGTGTTCCCATTTATACCGTTGATTAAGAGACAACACATATACGTTGTGCCTCCCTGATGATTTTTGGGGGGAAATGGAGGCTCTTTCAGTTCTTATCAAGACATGTTTGCCCCAAACTGCTGGAAAGAAGGCAGATACTTTCAAAAGAGAACTACGACTGGCTGGGCAGGGCAGTTTACAATAAATGCTGCCCCCAAAGACCAACCTCTCTACACCTTCCCGTACCCTCATCCATGGTCTTCCCAGAATCTGTTCCTCCTGTTCATGCCTTACAAGATGTGGCCATATAGGCTTGGGCTTATATGGCGCTTGTGAATAAGACTGCTCCAACTTATAAGAGAGTTGTCTGTAGCTACTCCTTCTAGACGGAATCGTGCAGAGAGGGGCTGCTATACCCTGCCCTTCAACAAACACAGAGCTGTTTGTGTCATTGATGCTACAATGAAAAACCATTGATTCAGACTAATATGGCACAACACATTTTCTTTGAAAATCAGATAAAAATGTATTCATGGAATTACAGTGCTCTGTGTAAATAATTATAATTGTGTTAAGTGTTACTGAGGCTGTATGCCAAAAACAATCTGAGCTCCCCACCACAGCTAACAAAAAGCACAGGAAAAAAAGAATCAAATACCACACTTAAAGGCCAACTATAACGCTGCTGGATTTAGGAACTAGCAGCAACCACAAGAGTAGCCAGTCAGTGGGTGTCACTCCCACAAGGACCAAAATGTCTACCACGATGAGTTAAAACAAAGTGCTTCTTCATCATACACTGAAAACAACAAGGCAGGTGACTAACACAAAGGTGGAGTGCACAAACTGAACCGATCAACACTATTAAGGAGACTAAAAACTGCTGCTGTACAGCAAATCACCAGATCCAACAAAACTGCCACTACCACCATGAAAAAGGACACTATGAGGTCTAGCAGTACAACAGACTTAATGATCCAGGAGGCCACACCCACAATGCTAAAATCCACTGATCTTTGGAGTGACATCATCCCAGACAAACACCACCACAGCAAATGACAATACTGTGGATACACTATACACCGATGTTGCAAACTTACACTCAAGCAGCAACTCAGCCACCAAATTAGGAGTGCAGTTACCACAATCGAAAAGGTCACATACCACAATTCACTGCACACAGCAGTACTGCTTTGCAAATATTGTATGGGGAAACAAACTTTAGTGAGACATCCCAACTCTTATCTGCCTATCCAAAAGGATAACTTACCTAACTAGTCTTCAGTGGCGTGGATTCAGCTTGAGGAGGGGGCTTAATCAGTGCATCACATTTACATCTGAACAATGATACAGGCAACTGCAGCGCTCTGAACCCTCCTGAGGCAAAATAGGCAAAATAATATAAAGGCATGGTCTCACAGAATAACTATTTAGGGTGCTCACAAACTATAAACTGAAATGGTTAGTGAAACAGACTGGAGCATCAACTACTAACTAACAACTACCAATATACTAACAAACGAAATGGTTACGAACTTAAACTAAAGCCAGAAGTTACACAGAACTTAATCTTAACAGTCTATGATTCCACCCATACCACTTTATGACTGAAAAACTACCACAAAGTAACCCATATTAAATACAGACAAATCAAGCTTATTCTATCCATTTCCATACAATGTGTATGTTGTTAGAAGTGGCACACATTTGACCAGCAGGTGGCGCAGAGGACTCGCTCACGGCAGCCTGAAATCTGTGGGTTCGATATCATTTGAAACATGCTCCAGCATCAGATGTGCATATCAGCCTTTCACACACATTAACGATGACTGTAATACAAATAAACACTGTAAGTTGGAGCTGAATAAATATATGGTCCCACGAGGAGTTAGATGAGCATTAGAATGACCCTCCCATGAAGCTTTCCAGCATCTGCTCTCCAACTCTCTCCAGTGCGCTCTGTTGAAGACAGACGAGCACCATTGAGGGAATTTTGGCTGGCACACTGCAAAAAAAATACCCAACTTGTGACAGCCTATATTTTTTTAACATGTATGATTCTTTTCAAATGTAGTTGATCTGAAAAAAAAAACACACACAAAGATTTTAAACCTATTGGCATATTTTAGAGTTATTCTAAGTCTTTTTTTAATTCAAAATCATTGCAGTACCTCCTTCAGTATTGTCATGGCGAACAATGTGGAGTGGTCATGCCCTGCAGCTTTTCACAATGATTGGGCTATACTTGCAAGTGTACACGAGGAAAAACAGACACGACATGCCGTAATGTCATGCTGCCCCACAGAAAAAAAACGGATTCATTTTTTATAGGTAAACATGAGTTCATTTTGTTAAGCACGGGGCATGCGCCCTCAGACGCTCATTTCTTACAGTGTTCGCTCCGCCTCTCGGCTGTCTCCGGCGCTGCGCTTTAAATAGCAGCTGTTTAAAAGCTCCTCATCATCCTCCTGTCCGCCGTGTTACCCTCAGTCCCTCTCAGCACCGCAGCCAACTCCCACTCATTCACACATTTCTTCAATAAGCAGCCTCCACATCCCGCAATGTCGGCCGCAAGTACCGAGACCAGCGCCCCGCTGCCCACCGCCGGAAGCCGGGTCTTCTTCCAACCTGCGAACGGCGTAGCCTGCGTGGGAACCGGTCCCATCACCGGGGACGACCCGGTGCAAAAGAGACAGGGCAAAGTGACGGTCAAGTACGACAGGAAAGAGCTGCGGAAAAGACTCGTGCTGGAGGAGTGGATCATCGAGCAGCTCAGCGAGTTGTACGACTGTGAGGTGAGTGGACACGGAGCGAGACGACGGCAAGTGAAGCCGAATGAAGGGCAAACAGTGGTCCTCTTTAGATTCTGTTAACAATGTTAAGGATTTCAACAATCATCTTTCATGTGCCAACCAAAGCCCATAATCCACCAAACAGTCTGTCCCTTCAGGTTTGTGTAGTCTCTTTGTCCTCTCTGCTCGTTTCTGTCTAGGCGAGGATAGTGCAGGGATGTTGAAGCGACACAAAAGCTGTCTCGTGTAATTACGTGGCTGTTTGTTGGACTGTTGTGTTCACTCTTTGACGTGCCGTGCTGTCTTCCCTTTTAATCACGTCTGTCGTTCAGGAGCAGAGAGAGAGAGAGAAAGAGAGAGGTGGATGGCTGCTTCATCTAAATCACTGCGAGAGAAACCGCACGGTTGCGCCTTTTTACGCACCGATCGCGTTTTTCCGTTCATTGGGAGACTGCAATCACTTTACTGTACGTGTATTAATGTATTGCTGCAACTGGATTTCGCAAGTGTTTTTCAACAATAAGTAGTCACGCTAGTGTTTCTCTGATGCAAAAGAAGGGGACAATTTCCCCAGTGAATTAATTCCTCTCGCGTTCTGTGGCTAATTTCTGACCCTTCTAACCCTTTCACCTTAGGAGGATCTGTCGCCAGACAATATTGACTGCCCGATTATTCTGCACTCTCACGTTCACAAGTCGCATTCTTTAACATTTAAAAGGGTTGAACACCGGAGGGGTTGCGTGCAGTGTGTGTGGAAAAAAAAAAGAGAGAGAGGGATTGCAGATACAGAGAGATATACCATAGTGTGTGTGTGTGTGTGTGTGTGTGTGTGTGTGTGTGTGTGTGTGTGTGTGTGTGTGTGTGTGTGTGTGTGTGTGTGTGTGTGTGTGTGTGTGTGTGTGTGTGTGTGTGTGTGTGTGTGTCTGCTGCCACACAGTATGCTGCCATATCGAGCTAAGAGGGGGGATGGGGTTGCACTAGGGGGAGCAAAGGAAAGAAGGGCAGTGGGTTAAGGATGTGCTGATGCTGTGACTCTCCTCACCAGCCAATCACCTCCTCTGGCTCTGACCCCCTTCCTTGCAAAAGAGGGTCTGCACAACCACTCATATGCTGTTGGCCTATGCACGCGCACACACACACACACACACACACACACACACACACACACACACACCAGAGACATACAGTATGTCTGCCACCTTGCCCAACCAATCAGGGATGTAGCAGGTGGTGTGAGTATTCAGGCACACGTGAACCTGTCAGAAAGAAAGCACCGAGGGTTTCATAAGGTTGCGTAAATGTTAGCGCTGGCAGGTATCCGTTGTTGTGTGTGTAGGTTATATTTTCTATGCCTTAGGCTACGCTGAGTCTCTGCTGTTTCTAAGGTTGATGGCCGGTTGTGCGCATGTGCAGAAGGGGGAAACACCTGCACAAATCACAGCAGGACTCTGAATGTCAACATCAAAGCATGGTTTTCCATCTCATCTTTTTCTCTCTGCTGACAGTGCATTGCAATGCAAATCTTTTTCTCCCCATACTGTAGGCAAATTGACTAGACCTTCATGTTCGGGTAGACATTATCAGTCCCTGTAGCTCCAAACAGCTCTAGCCTCTGAAACATTTGGCAAAGTGAATCTCTTTTGCAGCCATAAGCTACGACAGTATTTTGGCTGTCAACTTGTTTGCAACCTTTATCCCATTGTGTAGTCCTCATTTCTCACTCAAGTTGAATTAAAGGCAGCATAGCCTGCCTGAGTGTGGACTGGGTTTACATTTCAAAGCCGGCTGAGCTCTTGGCTGTGTGTCAGTTCACCGTCAGCAGGTGTGCTTGATCTACAAGTTGTGTGATGCTTCCCCCCCCCGCCCACGCGAATTGACTGTTGTTTGATGTGTGGATGAAAGGTTGGAGTGCACCGGGCCAATAATGATATATATTGGAGTCACGCTTTGGTCATGCAGTGTTTCCCTTTCTCCTTCAACTTGTGATTTGTTCAATGCAAATGTGTGTACGGCTTCTTAAAAAAAAATCAAACCACAGGATGCAGCCGTTTCTTATTCCATCATTGCATTACTGCATGGAAAAAGTCTTATCGCTCTTGTGTTCAGCATCACACCTCCTCACATCTTTCACACAGCAAATGGGATAATATAACATGATCCCGGGGTATGTCTGATATCATGCCGTCTAGGGGAATAAGCACACAGTGTTGACTGCTGGTAGAGAGCTATGCAAGCAGGCTTTCAGACAGCGACGCATAATAAAGCCAGTGCATCATTATTTTGACATGTTGTCACTTTGGTGCATTGTTAAGGCTTACTTCCATCCGTGCATCTATCCGATCATCCATGAATAGATACACCATGGCAAGTGTTTGAGCAGGTTGCACTCTAAACTGCTGTGCTGGCGATGACACACGACTGTGAACAGGAAGTTACACACTCTTCATGTTTGTTAACACCTCCCTGACACAGGTGTGTATATGTTTTGGTGTGTGTGTTTGTGTGTTTGTGTGTTATAGGGAGAGGAAGAGACTGCTGATTTGGCTGTGGCAGGCTGGCTTAAAGGTCAGCCTCTGTATCAGTTTCATAGGAAAACCTGATACTAGAGGACATCACGCAGTTTGTGTAGGGGTGAGCTGATGTATTGTAATAGCGTGTTGAAAGGGGTTAATTCAAAGAAATTGGATTTTGATTTCAATTACAGACACACAAGAGAGGAGATCGTTAGACGTAAGGCAATATAACTTACTCACACGGAGTCAAAATATGTATTTTATATAGACACGAGTGGTATTGTTACTCTCAGCAAAGCCTTTTTCCTGGAAATGTAGACATTCCTCTAACCTTGAGACAAACAAGACGCTTAGGTCTATTTACAAAGATATCACAATATTTATTAGTGATATCTTAATGAGACGACGTCACACTGTTAACACACTGACATGCGTAACTTTCACAATCTCCAATCACACACATCCTCTCAATGGTGAGGTCTAACTTAAACTGCAAGATATATTTTCTCTCCCTCTGCTCTTTTACTGATAACACCAGTGTTGCACCACCCCAGCATCCACCTGGCTCCGACTGGGGTGTCAGATATTATGTCATCATCACTCCTCCTCAATTTCTGCATGTAAAATACATTTTCGAGGAGTGACAAGGTCGGAGCCTAGACGCCAAACTTAAACTTTGTTCTGCTGCTGCAATAAATCTTTCAAACAATGCAAACGTGAGTTTTCTGACTGAAATCTTTCTTTATGTATTATGTTGAATTATTTTGTTGTGGTCAGTTTAAATTTTCTTTTACCCTCTATCTTTTCTCGAAGTCTCTGGGTGACAGGATAACAGAAGGTGAGTTCTGTCAGAGATGGATTTCATTCTGTTCTCATGGGATCTGTTGCCTCACTTCATTTCACCACTCAAAGCAACAGAGAGGAGAGTGAAGAAAGGAGAGAGAGGGGGGATGCTTTAATAGAGAGAAGGTGCGAAACCAAGGTGCTCCCTGCACACACCTTATTACAGCAAAGGCCTTGACTACACCATCTTATTCTCTCCTAGTCATTTTCTTCTATGTTGATGTCTGACAAAGTCATTGCTCAGGTGTTGTAGTGTTTCTCTCGTAAACTTCTTTACACTAAACTAATCCTCATTGGCTATGTCGTGGTAAATCAGTGGCAGTAAATCAATAAATACATTGATTACAGGAGATTATTTCGATTTTATTAATCCGGTGTTATTTTCTTTGTTAATTGATTGTTCCATAGGTCTAATAAATGTA